GTCAGTGTTAGCAAATTAATTGACTATTAAAACTAAAAAAGGATTAATTAAATCTTGTTCTTAACACAATCTTGAAATTATTCCAAGCCATCTTTAAATATTAAATACAATTATTTCATCTCTGAGAGAAAAATTGTCGTCTTTATTCGGGTTTTTAAAGGGATTGTTAACTTATTAGAAAATAAACATAACAACCTAATTTATTTATCTTAATAATCATACTAAACATGTTCCCGGGAGCTATAACGTCCAATTTCGCCCTAAATATTAATAAAGAAAGTTCACAACATCAGGTTGCAAAGATGTAAGAATTTGAAAAGGAGAGTTTGTGGCAAGTGTTCAATTCCTTTAAATAGATACGTACATTCCAACCTATCCAAATCTATGGATCAACTGTTTTCAAAAAAAGATTTCTTGTTTAAACAAGATACTGTAAAAGTAACACTTGTTAATATTTGTTTATTTCTATTGCAATTATAATCTGAAGTGAGGCAGGATTATTAATAATCTAATGTGAGGCAGGATTATTGATAATCTGGGGTGAGGCAGGATTATTGATAATCTGAGGTGAGGCAGGATTATTATTAATCTGAGGTGAGGCAGGATTATAAATAATCTGAGGTGAGGCAGGATTATAAATAATCTAAGGTGAGGCAGGATTATAAATAATCTGAGGTAAGGCAGGATTATTGATAATCTGAGATGAGGCAGGATTATAAATAATCTGAGCTGAGGAAGGATTATTGATCATCTGAGGTGAGGCAGGATTATTAATAATCTGATGTGAGGCATGATTAAAAATAATCTGAGGTGATAATCCTTCTCACGTGTCTGTTATAAATCCTTCTCCTATTCCTCTTCCTAAGGCTAGGCTCTGATTCCTGTTCCTAATCATTTTCCTATTCCTGTTCCTTAATTCTTCTTCTATATTAATGTTCATAATCCTAATTCTATTCATGTTCCTAATCTTTCCCCAGTTCCGGTTCCTGCTCCTGTTCATATTCCTAATAATTCTTCTATTTCTGTTCCTTAATTCTTTTCTATTACTGTTCATGATCTGAGGTGAGGCAGGATTATTGATAATCTGAGGTGAGGCAGGATTATTGATAATCTGGGGTGAGGCAGGATTATTGATAATCTGAGGTGAGGCAGGATTATTGATAATCTGAGGTGAGGCAGGATTATTGATAATCTGGGGTGAGGCAGGATTATTGATAATCTGAAGTGAGGCAGGATTATTGATAATCTGGGTGAGGCAGGATTATCAATAATCTGGGGTGAGGCAGGACTTTTAATAATCTGAGTTGAGGCAGGATTATTGATAATCTGGGGTGGGGCATGATTATTGATAATCTGGGGTGAGGCAGGATTATTAATAATCTGAGGTGAAGCAGGATTATTGATAATCTGAGGGAAGGCAGGATTATTGATAATCTGGGGTGAGGCAGGATTATTAATAATCTGAAGTGAGGCAGGATTATAAATAATCTGGGGTGAGGCAGGATTATAAATAATCTGAGGTGAGGCAGGATTATTGATAATCTGAGGTGAGGCAGGATTATAAATAATCTTAGGTGAGGCAGGATTATTGATAATCTGAGGTGAGGCAGGATTATTAATAATCTGTGGTGAGGCATGATTATAAATAATCTGAGGTGAGGCAGGATTATTTATAATCCTTCTCACGTGTCTGTTACAAATCCTTCTCCTATTCCTCTTCCTAAGGCTAGGCTCCGGTTCCTGTTCCTAATCATTCTCCTATTCCTGTTCCTTAATTCTTCTTCTATATTAATGTTCATAATTCTAATTCTATTCATGTTTCTAATCTTTCCCCAGTTCCGGTTCGTGCTCCTCTTCATATTCCTAATAATTCTCCTATTTCTGTTCCTTAATTCTTTTCTATTACTGTTCATGATCTTAGGTGAGGCAGGATTATTGATAATCTGAGGTGAGGCAGGATTATTGATAATCTGAGGTGAGGCAGGATTATTAATATTCTGAGGTGAGGCAGGATTATTAATAATCTGAAGTGAGGCAGGATTATTGATAATCTGGGGTGAGGCAGGATATTAATAATCTGGGGTGAGGCAGGATTATTGGTAATCTGAGGTGAAGCAGGATTATTGATAATCTAGGGTGAGGCAGGATTATTGATAATCTGAAGTGAGGCAGGATTATTGATAATCTGAAGTGAGGCAGGATTATTGATAATCTGGGATGAGGCAGGATTATTAATAATCTGGGGTGAGGCAAGATTATTGATAATCTGGGGTGAGGCAGGATTATTGATAATCTGAGGTGAGGCAGGACTTTTAATAATCTGAGGTGAGGCAGGATTATTAATAATCTGAGGTGAGGCAGGATTATTAATAATCTGAAGTGAGGCAGGATTATTGATAATCTGGGGTGAGGCAGGATATTAATAATCTGGGGTGAGGCAGGATTATTGGTAATCTGAGGTGAAGCAGGATTATTGATAATCTAGGGTGAGGCAGGATTATTGATAATCTGGGGTGAGGCAGGATTATTATTAATCTGAGGTGAGGCAGGATTATTGATAATCTGGGGTGAGGCAGGATTATAAGTAATCTGAGGTGAGGCAGGATTATTGATAATCTGGGGTGAGGCAGGATTATTAATAATCTGAGGTGAGGCAGGATTATTGATAAGTTTAGGTGTGGCATGATGACAAATAAACTGAGGTGAGGCAGGATTGATAATAATCCGAGGTGAGGTAGGATTATTGATAATCTGATGTGAGGCAGGATTATTAATAATCTGATGTGAGGCAGGATTATTGATAATCTGAGGTGAGGCAGGATTATTAATAATCTGAGGTGAGGCATGATGATAAATAATCTTAGGTGAGGCAGGATTATTAATAATCTGAGGTGAGGCAGGATTATTGATAATTTGAGGTGAGGCAGGATTATTAATAATCTGAGGTGAGGCAGGATTATTGATAATCTGGGGTGAGGCAGGATTATTGATAATCTGGGGTGAGGCAGGATTATGAATAATCTCAGGTGAGGCAAGATTATTGATATTCTGAGGTGAGGCAGGATTATTGATAATCTAGGGTGAGGCAGGATTATTGATAATCTGGGGTGAGGCAGGATTATGAATAATCTGAGGTGATGCAGGATTATTGATAATCTGGGGTGAGGCAGGATTATTAATAATCTGAGGTGAGGCAGGATTATTGATAAGTTTTGGTGTGGCATGATGATAAATAAACTGAGGTGAGGCAGGATTGTTAATAATCCGAGGTGAGGCAGGATTATTAATTATCTCAGGTGAGGCAGGATTATTGATAATCCTTCTCACGTGTCTGTTACAAATCCTTCTTCTTTTCCTGCTCCTAAGGCTAGGCTCTGATTCCTGTTCCTAATCATTCTCCTATTCCTGTTCCTTAATTCTTCTTCTATATTAATGTTCATAATCTTAATTCTATTTATGTTCATAATCTATTTCCCGTTCCGGTTCCTGCTCCTGTTCCCAATTTAACAGAAAGAGGATCAGAGGCTATCACGTGATATATACCGAGCTGGGTCTTTTCTTTCTCCTCGTTTCACCCTGTGATGTTTACTTTCTTTGTGTATTGATGAATATCCACTATTTATTGATTAAACAAATGAAAGGAAATTACACTTTTCATCACAAAACTATTATAGCTTCCAACTTGCCGTAACCTACGAGAAACAACGTATTTTTGATTAAAGTGATTGTTCATCATCATCATTCTTATAACCCCAATGCTCATCAGCCCAATAGTTTCATCTTAATTATGTATTTAAATGAAACAAAAACAAAAATATAGATTTTAAAAACCTAGAAAAAGAGCAAGTTAACACAAAATATAATTCATACAGTTAAATATTGTAGAGATCTTGTTGCATTATAAACCGTTAGAAAATATATTGTAAAATTTCAAAAAAGAAAGTTTTTTGTCATGAATTCTGTCAGAACACCAATTTTTATTTTGCTATTCTCTTGGTTCAGAAAAAAAGTAAACTGAATTTATTCATCAAATTAAAAATATAATAGTTTATATATATATTAAGTTGTGATTGATTTTGTATGTTAAGATGCCGCCTGAAAAATATTTAATTTATTGTAACTAGATTGGGAACCCAGCTCTGCCTGGAAACTGAACAAACTGACAAACAGAGATTACTACTCTATATATATAGATTTGTAACCAAGAGAATCGTTAGATTGTTTTGTGGCACACAATTCACACAATTCACTCCTATTTTTCATAATTTTTTTCCTAAACAGAACATTATCACAAGAATTTGATGGATTAAAAATCAAACTGCCCAAATATTCAGTAAATAAATGTCACAAAATAACAAGCTTGTAAAAAAAGAGTATAAAAAGTTGAAAAAAAGAACGAAATAGATAAAGGATGTCAAAAATTTGCACAAAAAAGAATTGCTTAAAATACATACTTCAATTAAAACTTTTTTCACACTCTTTAAGAATAAACGATTTTGTCAAAATTATTTGCAAAAAAAAATACATTTAATTCTTATAAATTATGAGTTCATCGTTCATTAAAAATACAAAATTTCTGTCATTTTTAGAAATGAATTACTTAAAGGGAGTGTTCGATAAAAATGAAATGGGGTATAGGCTTACGGCGAAAAATTATCGCTTTTGATCGCTACTAATCTTACTTCTATCTGTTTCGTCTTTAAGGAAAAAAATTGTTAAAAACTACTTGTATCACAGAGCGTAGAGTCCATACAAATTGAGATCCCAGTCGTCTGTTGCAACAGTCTCAATATGTATGGACTCTACCTTATTTGGTATGAGTCGTTATTAAAAAATTTTCTCCTTTTAGACGCAACAAATAGAAGATTAGTAGCGATCAAAAGCGATTATTTTTCGCCGTAAGCCTAAATCCCTTTAATTTTTTGCGAACACTCCCTTTAACGGGACAATTTTTAATTAAATTAAACAACTAATTATGAATGTCAATTATCCTAGTTGTAAATTAGATAAAGATGGATCAGGGATTAGACGAGTGTGCTGAAAGTAAGACGACATTAGAGGAGATAAATTCCGAAGTAAAAAATCAGGCCACAAGATTGATGATAAGTGCTTTGCTGGAAGATTCAGTGGATCAGCTTGCAATAGTATCCGTCACCTTGGGTAAATATACAGTTGGACCCATAAAGGTGTGCAATAGGAAGAGATAGATCCATGTTTTAATTTCAAACTCAATAAACATGAAACACACTTAACCATTAAGTTTAATAAATTAATATTGAAGATGTTGGTAAAACTACTTCCTTCATAAAATTTCGAGAATTTCCAAATTTTTTGAAAGTTCCACAAATATCTAATTATCTTTCTGTCTTTTCTTTTATTTAAAAGTTTTTTCGCAAATTTAGTCTAAACTTAAGAAAACGAAACCAAAAAGAAAATTTTCAATTGTTGGCACTAGATTTGAAAAAAAAGAAAAATTTTCTCAGGAAAGGTTTTTTAACTCAATAGTAATTTATTCGAACGAAAATCACAAGTGCAATTATTAACTCGTTGAATTGAACTCAAATAGATTGACAATCTATTTTGCTGAACTACACTTGTATTTCTCAGAAATACAAAACGTTGAAATTATATACAGGTTGAGTCAAAAAAAATATTTCTATCACACTTTAAAATTTTAAACCGATTAGATTAGTAGTTTTGGAGACAATGTGCGAAATATACTTCAGAAAAACATATTTTACTGCAGATACACTCTCGTATGCGTATTTTTCTATTATTCTAATATATAAACTTTTATTTATCTCAAAAATTCTTTTTTTAAAAAGAATTTAGAAAGATTAAAAATCATCAATTTCGTGTATTTTCTGCTCATCTGATCTGTTTCAGATTTTAAGGTGTGATAGAAATAATAAATTCCAGCACTTTTTTATAGTTTCGTGGATTTTTTAATAGTCAGATTGCCTATAAAAATCTAAAATTTCATACATATTTGTCAAAAATGAGATTTAAAAAAATACTTTAGCAAATGCATGATCTCGCTATTGACATTTTTTTTTGACCCACCCTGAATGTCTAACTAAAAAACTTAACATATTTCTTCAGGAAAGTCAGCTGAGCCCCATATGAATATGAAAAACCGACCTCTGATAGATATTCTCCGGGAGCAGGAGGAGAAGAAGAATACGGGAGGGACCGGAGATAAACCCCAATCTGACGGAGCAGAGAGTAAAGACTATAAACAACTCCACACCGAGACGGAGTACGTTAAAATGGTGCTACAGGAGACTATAAGTAAACTTTTCATTATAAATTTTTTATTAAAGTTTTAAACAGATTGAAATTTGATCACACTTAGTATACTCACATATACACAGATTTTAATCAGATTAAGAATGTAGCACAGGTTTTTCTTGAGACATTATTTCAATAACATATGATTTAGAAGATTTTTCTTTTTTATTGGTGACTAATATCTTTATTCAGGGGATAAAAGGAAAATATTGACTAATAAATCTATATTCAGGGGATATAATTAGAATATTGACTAATATCTCTATATTTAGGAGATATAAGATGAATATTGGCTAATATATCTATATTTAGGAGATATAAGGAGAATATTAACTAATATCTCTAAATTTATGGGATAAAAGGAGAATATTGACTAATATATCTATATTCATGAGATATAAGGAGAATATTGACTTATATCTCTATATTCAGGAGATATAAGGAGAATATTTGACTAATATCTCTATATTTAGGAGATATAAGATGAATATTGAATAATATATCTATATTCAGGAGATATAAGGAGAATATTAACTAATATTTCTATATTCAGGGGATATAAGGAGAATATTGACTAATATCTCTATATTCAGGAGATATAAGGAGAATATTGACTAATATCTCTATATTCAGGGGATATAGGGAGAATATTGACTAATATCTCTATATTCAGGAGATATAGGGAGAATATTGATTAATATATCTATATTCAGGAGATATAAGGAGAATATTGACTAATATCTCTATATTCAGGGGATATAAGGAGAATATTGACTAATATCTCTATATTCAGGAGATATAGGGAGGACAGGAGATCCTGTAAGAATGTATGAGAGTATATCTATGTATGAAAGAAGAATAAAAGAGAAAGAAGAAATTATTCTCCAAGAAGAAAGAATACAAAGCAAGATAAAGGTATGACCAGTATAACCATTGCCCAAACCCGTTATGTTAGACCTGATACTGGGAAAAACAATGCGAGCAAATAGCATTTTCCTTTATTATTAATCCTAGTCCTGAATCTACTGCTTTTTTGAAATGGTAAAATCACGCAACCTCTAAAATTAGTTTTTGAATGGGCTGTTGAGGCAGAAGCGCTCTCCCAGAACAGAAACCAGAATAATGCTCTTTAAAATTTAATTCCATGCATACTGTCCAACTAAAAATATTTTAGTACGCCCTCGGGTTTATCATTGAATCCCTCGGGGGTTTAAATTTCCATTGGTTCTAATTTGTCTGAGAGTAAATGATACATTGAATCCCGATAATCTAACAACTTTGCCATGGTGACTTGAATGATAAAGTTTTCATTGAATCCCGCCAGGTTTTCAGTGGGTTTTCAACTCATCTCTCGCTTGAATATTACACATAGAAAAATATATGATTTAATGATTAAGTTTGTAATTTAAGGCATCTGATCACTCGCCAATCGCCATTAATTTTGCCAAATAAAATAATTAAAGTTTAAAATATCGAAGGTTTACACCATAAAATTGCAAAGAGACATTTAAAAATAAATGTTTTTTAATGGTTGTAAATTAGGTGATTTAGGAGATGAGAAAGGAGTTGAAGGAGTTGACCTTGAACGAGGTGAAGCTGAAAAAGACCGAAATGAGAAAGATTTCTGATCTCAAGGATTGTCTGCTGGATACCAAGCGGAGGGTCGGAAGTGAGAAAATATTTATCACAAGGTTGTATATTTTAAAATAGAAAAACTCAAGTTTTAATTTTATTTAGTTCAATAAACAACAAACACCGATTTTCAAACTATTTGCTAGGACTAAATGTTGCTTTCTTTTCAAAAGTTTTAAAAACCATTTAATCTATGAAGAGCCAAAATGTTATTTTTAAGTAAAAAATGATAAGTTGAAACTCCAAATAAATAGTAATTTCGAAAACTTTTTTGTTTGTTAGTGTGTAAAAGGGTTGCCATGTGACCGACCTGCACGCGTGTGAGGGTGAGGGGGGGGGGGTCAGTCTTTTTTTCTTCATAATTCTTTGGCAACCCTAATTTTTCTAAAAAAAGGGAATCGCAAATTTTGACATCAAAAACAAGAAGAACATTTTCAGAATGGAAAACTTTTAATTCTTAGCAAAAGGAATTGAATCTTTGCCACAAACTACGATTTTTTAATCTCTATACATCTTTGGAACCCATTGGCACAGACCTTAGATATTTCAAACAATGAATTCTGTTTGATCAAATCAGGTTTCATTGATATAGAAATTACAAAATTTGAGTTTGTGTTAAAATCTATTATCAGATAAAAGTTTAAAGTTTAAAGTTTGAATCTATGTTGTTACTTTTAGAATTTCGTTAACAATCCCTTGAAACATTGCAGGCAGGAGAAGGTTCGGGAGGAGACCTGGAAGGAGAGGTTGAGGAAGGACGAGGAAGAGCTCGGCAGAACAGTTAGAAACTTCGAGATAGGAATACAACAAGAGGATAGAGTTCATCAGGAGATTGAAAACTTTCTCAGAGAACAACAGGTTCGTATTAATAGAACTGAGTTTTGCCACAAATTCTGATTTTACAATTGATGTATCTTTGCAACCTGATGATGTAAGATATTGAAATGCAAAGATATAAGGATACGAAAATCACAGTTTGTGACAAAAACTCAATTCCTTTCATCACATTAAACAAGAACAAGAACAAGTATGTGAGAAAGTCGGTAAAATGTGCTTTTAGTTTAATTTTGCTAAAATTCCTAAATCAGGTTTGAATTTGGAGAAAGTTGATCTTAAATATGGAGAAACAGTACTTGCAAAAAATGCATCGAATTCTCCTGGATAAAAAATGATGCTTTAATGATAAAAGATCTTTGTCTTTAATCAATTGATGTTAATAGAATTTGTATCCTTAATTCAGGAAGAGTTAAAGGAGAAAAAACTTGAATGGGAAGAAATCTACGAAAAAGATACGAAGGCCAGGAAGGCTGAGCTGAAAAGTTTGGAGGTAACATGACTTTTCAAGTATAAATACAAGTAAAAATACAAGTACAAGTACGAGTACAAGTAAAGGCAAGTACAAGTACAAGTACAAGTACAAGTACAAGTACAAGTACAAGTACAAGTACAAGTACAAGAAGTACAAGTACAAGTACAAGTACAAGTACAAGTACAAGTACAAGTACAAGTACAAGTACAAGTACAAGTACAAGTACAAGTACAAGTACAAGTAAGTACAAGTACAAGTAAATTAATCCCAATAGATAAATACATTTAAGGTTAACAAAGCTGACACAACCAGAAGACTTCAAGAGCAGCGTCAAAAGTAAGAAACTGTGTTTTCAAATTTATCTTAGAAATAGCTTGGGAACCCAGCGTTGCCCAGGTTACTCATAGTTACTCCCGCCGTTTACCCGCACTTGGTCGATTTTACTGGATAACAAAATGATTGCTATTAAATCCATTCAACTTAGACTCTTAAAAATTAAGCAAGAGCATTCCCGTGCTTCTCTCAAGTTCCCCGATCAAAATTTGAGGCAAATCGGTCAGGGGTTCCTGAGTTATGATCGGACATACAAACAGAGATTACTACTCTATATATAAAGATAATTATGGATAGATAAAGGAATTGAGTCTTTGCCACAAACTCAAATTTTCAAATTCATGTATCTTTGCAACCTGATTGTGAATACCTTTGATATTTCAAACTTAGATTATTTGATCTAACAGAATTTAGTTTGAAACCCCTAAGGTCTATACTCTATATTCGACAATGGGTTGCAAAGATAAAACGATTATAAACTAGAGTATATTCTAACGACTCAATCCTTTGCAAAGGAATTGAACACTTACCACAAACTCTAAGGATCAAGTTTTCAAATTCTTTAAAATGATACGACATTTTCATTGTTATTTTATAAAAACCTAAATCACCTGGTGAAAATGGCGCTAAGTTTAAAAATAAAAAATAAATTTCAGATTAGCTGAAGTTAAGGAGTTTGTAGAGGGTGTGAGAAGAGAGGAGGAAAGAAGACTGAGGGAGGAGGAGGAGGAGAAAAGAAGAGACATAGGGTCAAGGAAAATACAGGTATAAGGAAAATAGTAAGTAGAAAAGGAGGGGAGTGATGGAGGGAGAGGAGAGAGGAGGAGGAAGAGAAGAAAAAGGATAGAGACAAGAAAGATACAGGTATAGGGAACTAGAAGAAGAAGAGGAGAGAGAAGGGGGGGGGGGCGGAAAGAATGAGGAAGAGGAAGAAGAGGAGGAAGAGATGGGATATATAGAAGGATCAAGGAAAATACTGGTATAGGGAACTAGAAGAAGAGAAAGAAAGGAGGGAGGAGGGGGTGGGGCGGAGGAGGAAGAGAAGAAAAGGAATAAAGGATTAAGGAAAATCCATGGTTTAGGGAACTTGAAGAAGAAGAGAAGATGGGGTAGGAGGAGGAAGAACAGAAAAAAGAGGGAAAAAGGAGAAAGCGGAGAAAGAAGGAAAAGAGGGGATAGAAGGGAAAAAGGAGAAAGAGATGAAGGATGAAAAAGACCGGAACGATTCTTTAAAGAACAAATATGTTTATTATTTAGGCTTGGTGGCGAGGTGAGATGGTTCGAAGATGTCTGGGTAGTTACAGAAAACGAAAAGATCTTAAATCAAAAGTTCTCAAAATAAAAAAGCTTCGAAGTCATGTTTAAAAACTAGTTTACGGCTCAAAGGAAATATGAATGCAAAAAAATTATAATTATTTGTTTGTAGCTCTGTTTTTAACCCTCGTCTGTTTGTGGCTCTGTATTTAACCCTCGTCTGTTTGTAGCTCTGTATTTAACCCTCGTCTGTTTGTAGCTCTGTATTTAACCCTCATCTGTTTACAGCTCTGTATTTAACCCTCGTCTGTTTCTAGCTCTGTATTTAACCCTCGTCTGTTTGTATCTCTGTATTTAACCCTCGTCTGTTTGTAGCTCTGTATTTAACCCTCATCTGTTTGCAGCTCTGTATTTAACCCTCGTCTGTTTGTAGCTCTGAATTTAACCCTCGTCTGTTTGTAGCTCTGTATTTAACCCTCGTCTGTTTATAGCTCTGTATTTAACCCTCGTCTGTTTGTGGCTCTGTATTTAACCCTCTGTTACGCGAGCCATGCTGCGTGTAGAAAGTCTGTTTGTCGCCCCTGCGTATTTCTGAGTTTCTCCTGAAGTTCTGTACGGAATGTATTGTGAAAAAACTAGTTTAGGAACTGTTTACAGTCCGACTGCGCAGACGCAAGATTTCTCGCGGAGTAGTAGTTAAATTTATATTCAGTA